CTAAAAAAATGTAAAATTTAAGATGTGAGTCATTTTATGGACAACTTACATACTTCAAAGATATAAAGATTTGTCCAGTCAACGGTTGTCTGTCGTTTTGGTGAGTTTGGTTATTTTCAGTTGGAATAGAAATCGCCTCACAACTACACTTCTAGCTCGTGTGGCACTACATGCACACCAAATATCCGGGGATGCAGTATGCACGCCGAAACAAAAACACCGCTAAATTAAATAAGGAACTTACGAGCCTTGTAGTTTTATTCATAGTATTTGAACACAACGTGTCTTAATTCATGTTTACAGGTATGAACTGAGGATATATGTTTTGTCGTGTGTGACATGGCACTAAGGAGACCACACAAAGTCGTGACTACACAAGGTTGGTGTCTACGAGGGTGCCTCCAGAAATCCGCAACACAGAGTAACCTAATGGTGCTAGAGAACGAAGAGACGGTGGCGTGCCCCAAAAATTGGAAAGTGCGTCTAAGGGAGGCGTTTGTGTTGTCATGTTATTAATCTTAAGGTGATGTATCATGGTGTGTGTTCTAAACTTAAAAATCCGACATTTTTTCCTCCTTTAATTTGGTCACCTTCTCTCTAGAGCAGTGTTATACAATGTACATATGAATGAATAATTCCTCACTCCGTTTCTTATAATCCCTGGTTACGAATCCACTCGTGCGGTGTCAACCCTTGTTGTGTGAAACTATACTTCGAGACGAGGTGTTGTTACCATTGTCTCCCGTTAGGCGGCACCGGTTCACGACGTACCAGGTACTACAAAGAGCGTCCTCAGATTCTTCTAAACATCTTTGTCTAACAAGTTACATCATAAAATTTTACCAACTTTCCATCCCATCCATTTCTACCTCTTTGGTCGGAGCTCCACGCCGATACTTAATCTTTCATGTGTTGCTCTTTTTAACGGGGGAAGGAAATTCTGAAGGAATGTCTCGGCGGAGTGAGGTTGGTGTGGAGGCTGGTTCGCATGTACTGGCTTACTCCGTGCTTCTTCATTCAAACACGTGTCTACCTTCGACTGTCCGTCCATACCGAGTAGGTCAAATGAAATCGGCCCGTGGCCTCGAGTCTACTAAACCAGCACGAAAATGTCAGGTGGCCGAAAGGTAGGTGTCTAAATACATAAATTACAGTTTCGTCAGAAGTTATATAGGTAACGATAGCCCTACAATTTCGTCGTAAGGTACCTTTTATGTTGTCTTTTCAAAAAGACTTCACTTACGTGGATGGGGTGGAAATTGGTACGATTCTAGTGTTCTATATTTGGGCATGTCATACACAACTGTAATAACGTCATACCAATTTCGAGGTTACGCCAGCTATGTCAATACGACCAGACAATCGTAGTAATCAACAAATGGACACCCAAACCCTGTCGGCGGAAACAACAGAAACCATTGGTATACATATTGACCTCGTTTCTGAACTACGAATCAACCGGGTTTAGAGGAGTGTTACAGACGGGTCCTTAACAACTGACTTTCTTTTGTCATTTTTTTTTTTTTTTTTCCCCAATTTTTAGAATAAATAACTTTACACCCATTTGTTAGTTACTTTAACTTAATACCAGTAGATAAGTTGTTTTATATCGTGCATTAAAGGTGTGGTAGGTAATTCACTTCAGAAACACTTGTTATATTCCATGAAATGCTCTTAACATCCCGATAGCAATGAATACATTAAATGCTTTGACAATAAATACATTAAAAAAATAGTCATCTGTGGAAGCCGTGGCGCTGTAAAAAGCACGACCAATCATCTGAGCCGGCTAAAATAACTGGATGGCCTACCTGCCCGTCAGCCATCCATCTCGTGCTCAAACTTATCTCGTGCCCTCATTAGTCATGTGTTGTGTGTGTTGGAGGAGGGGCTCTGTAAGGAAGTCTGAAGGAAGTGGCAGATTTTTTTCGTTTGCGTACTTTCAAATTCTAGCGCCCTCTAGCTGGTTTCTCCATTCTTACCTACCCTACCTTTTTTAATTCAGGCATTTAACAAAATACGGTAAAAAAACTAAGATTATGCAACCTGGAAATGCTAACAGATTTCAAGTTTTAGAACTCATTTCTGCCCCACTGTATTGCCTAAGGCTAAAGAGTTTTAGAAATAAACCCATTAAGTAACATGTTTTTAATGGGACTTATTCTCCAGGTGAGATGATGGTGTCTCCACTGACCGTGTCGTCTTCAGTGAAAGGCAGAAGCTACAACAGTGACGCAGTGCAGCGCCTCCTCAATGATGAAGAGTCTAGCTGCATCAGTGAAGTGCCCGTCTCCAGCGAGCAGCAGTGCACAGATCTGAAGAAGACCTCCGCAACAACTCCCAAACAGAAGCCAGAACTCCCAGAGTGTCTCACCGGAGTGAAGTGGATCAAGAAGACGCCAAAACAGAAGTCCGAGCCGATCGAAGACCTGAGAGGGAAGATTCTGAAAACTCCTAAGCAGAAGCGTGAACAACAGGAAGACTGTCTCACCGGAGTGAAGCAGATGATGGCCACTCCTAAACGGGAAGCTGTAGAGGACATCAAGGTAGAGCTGCTGAAAACTCCCACTGAGAAGGTTGAACAACAAGAGTCCATCGCCGTCGTTGAGGTGGTTTGTGAGGCCCCACAAAAGGAGGCTGAACCCATCGAAGACCTTCAAGAAAATGTCCTGGAAACTCCCAAAGCTCCAGAAGCAGAAGCCACACGTGTGGATGATGTTGAGGAAACTGAAGAGCCATCTGAAACGACCGACATGTTAAGTGCGATCAGTGTGGCCCCAGCGGAACTTGAAGATCTCACTCAGGATGAAACGGTTGATTATACTTGTTGTGAAGTCAAAGCAAAAGGTTAGTTTGTTCTTAAGTCGGATGAGATCAATATGAAAAAGGAGAAATAAATAACAAAGACATGAATGTAGGCCGCATTACAATAAATGACTGAATATTTTTGTGGTTTTTGCACTTTGTCCCCAAAGAGCCACAAGATGATGTGCCATCAGATGTCAAGGATGTTCCAGAAGTTAACATGGAGAAAGGTATGTTGACTAATATTTATCCCTTTACTGTTCTTATATTAATTTGTACTTGAACCATATTATGTTATGCTAAACCTAATAGAAAGGAACCATAGCAAAAATAAATTGTTGAAATGTACAAATACTTTTCAGTTTTTTCACTATTGTGTTTCATGTCTAATTTCTGAAGCAGATGCAAATGATGTCGTCGACGATATTGAATCATCAGATGCCGCCAAAAATGTCTCTAAAGCCCCTGTAGATGAGATTGTAGCTGTGGATGAACCCAAAATGGAGACTGTTGATGATAATGTATCTGAAGAACCAGAAGTGGTCACAGTAGATGAGAAGGTTACTGAAGAACAGCCTATGGAAGATGCAGTTGAGAAGGTATCTGAAGAAAAACCCAAAGTAGACACCGTAGAAGAGACTGCATCCGAAGAACCTAAAGTGGAAACTGCTTCTGAAATAGTCACAGAAATGGACACAGCTTCCTCAAAGCCCGACCAGAAGAAAAAATCTGTTCGAGGCAGAAGTACCAAGACGGTTGAACCTGAAGAAGCTGATGGTCAACAGGAAGCAGTAGAACAATCTGAAGAGCCTGTCATTCCTACACCATCCAGAGGAAGAAGGGTGAAGAACACTGAAGCTGCTGCCTCATCCGCTGTCAAGCAAACGAAAAGAGGCAGAGATGCTAAGTCTGAAGAAAGCCAAGACGTTGTGCTCCCAGTTGAGGAAAGTGAGCCTCTTCCCACCAAAGCTGCTCCTAAGCCTAAACGAGGAAGCTCTGTTAAAAAAGCTTCTGAGATCCAAGAGGTTCCCCTCGTCAGTGCCACAAACAAGCTCAAACGTGTCGGGAACGGAAAACAAGCTGCTGAAGAACCTGAGGCTGAAGAGAAGAGTGAAGAAGAGCCAGCTCCAGTCAGAAAATCAAGGGGGGCGAAAAAAGAAGTTGCCCAAGCCGTTCCAGCGAAGAAAGCCCGTCGAGGTGCAGCTCCAACCCTCGAGGAGACGAGCGAGGACTCCACCGTTTTAGAGCCGGTCAAAAAGGGGAGGCG